ATATGGGTGCAGGTTCTAGTCCTGGTTGCTCCTCTTCCAGTCTTGCTCTCTGCTATGGACTGGGAAAGCAGTGTAAGATGGCACCAAGTTCTTGGGTCCCTGTATCCCGTGGGAAACCAGGAAGAAGCTCCTGGCTTTGGATCAGCTCAGCTCCAAAGCTGAGTGAACCAGCGGTTGGAAGACCTCTCTCTCTCCCTGCCTGTGCTTTCTGTAACTCTGCCTTTCAAATAAATAAATTTTAAAAATCTTTTATTAAAAAAAAAGCAGTGCTTTAAAGATTTATGGGAAAAAATTAAATTATGGCATTTTGCAAACCCCTGCTAGTCTATCTATAGCATTGAACACCGACAGTTACTAATATTAAAGAATGCATCACATGCCCCATGATGAAAGAATATACTCTAATGCTACTGTGGCTTCGTCGAAGAGATCAAACCTTACTGTCTTCATCTACAGGATCCAGCTGCCAATGTACAGGAAATGTCAAGGTCAGAGGAGCATGTAAAGTGCACCAAGAGAGTGTGGTCAGCCAAATCCAGAGTGAGAAAACCAGTGTTGGTTCTTCAAGAGATAAACTATTTGGAAAAGACAAAGGAAACTCTTCAGAAAAAAATAAAAATGACTGGAGTATCAGACTTTTAAAAAATAGGCAAGACTAAAAAAGTCAGCATGTATTTAATAAGTGAGTGTTTTACAAAAAACGCCATTAAGGTAAATGGCACATGTAGGATTCAGGATATTATAAATTTGTTTTTAAAATGCATCTGTTAACGAGAGCCAGCTCCCATCTATGCCCTGGTTCAGTGCCCATGATGACTAGAGCTAGGAACTCGATGTAGGTCTCCCATGTGAATGGCAGAAACTCAGTTGTTGCAGCCGTCATCCACTGCCTCCTAGGGTCTGCACTGATAGGTAGCTGGAGTCAGGAGCTGGAGCCAGACATAAAACCCGGGCACTTGGATATGGTGATATGGTACTTGGACATCATAGCCAGTAGACCAGGCATCCACCCCTTGTTGTTGTTGTTAATACTAACAGATTCTTCACATCGTATGTTAAGGGAAGAGCCTGATGTGTATTCCATGACTTTGAGAATGGACCAGCAATAGTGATAGTTCCTGTGCTTCTCTTAGGGATTGACCAGGGCTTCCACTAAATTGTCACCCATCCAAAAGTAGGACTAAATGAAAAGGAGAATGGGAGTAGGAGGACATGAATAAGGAGAAAAATATAACATTCATAAAGAATTGGCATCAATGTTTGAAGAAAGTGATGTTAATGGAGCTAAAACTATAGGCAAAATTGTCAAGGTGGTACCTTTGTTGTTGGTATCGATTTCTCTATCTTCACCCTGTAGTAAAAATGTAAATTCCCTTAAGTATTTAGTACATAGGTATTGCTCAGTAAATATTTGAACTGGCATAGGGAATTTGCCCTTGGGAAATCTGCCAGGACTCTACATCCCCCATAAATCCAAAGATCTGAACCTATAGGCTGAGTAAATCCATCATCAGCACTGGAGTAGCAGAAGACCTGGAGTTAAAGAACAGGGAGGTTTCCTCCTGCTGCCTCTGCTATGGCTTGACAGCCACCAGGATGGAAACTGCTTTGCCTTCTGCCACTTGCAGGTGAACTGCCACTTGGACTACTCCAACATTAGGTTACAGTGAGCTACTGAAGAAACATAACATCCCTTAGAAATAAACAGAATGTGAACTCAACTCAATAAAATTACTAGAGGAAACAACAAGAATGGGTGCTTAAAATTTTTTCCAGTATAGCACAAAAAGACTTTGGGGAACTAAATAAAATGTGATTGTACAGCCCAGCAACTTAGTAGATGAAGTGGGAATAGTCACTGTTGAGATTCAGATATTAAACTCAAAAATCAAGTTAAGTGTATCTTTACAACATAAAGCAAAATTCCAAAGACAAAGAATTGTGAAAGAAAAGATAAAAGACTTAAGCAGTAGATCCAGGAGGTCTAACAGGTCTAAAATATGAGTAATGCTTACTTAGTAGGGACTTAAAAGGGCAGAAAGCAACAGGTAGGGTATACATAATTATTATAAAAATAATAAAAAAAAATGCGAGTTGAAAAACCATGTCATCAGTTGTGAGGCTCAGTGAGCTCCAGGTGGATTAATGAAAACATTCGTTCATACCCCTCCATGTTCATTGGTCACATTTCTTGGTGCTGTTCTGAACTAACAAATTACCTACAAAGAAGAAATACTGTTAGGTTGGCATGGGACTTGTAATTTGGAATAGTGGAAGACAACTGCTAAGAGAACTACAGTATGAGAATCCTGTACCTGGCCAAGGTATTATTCACCTTTTAGGGTAAAAGATAATAGTAGACACTGAAAGATTTAAAAAGCATGTCCATATGTTTATTTTCTATTAAAAAAAAGAAATAATGGATAACAAACCAACAACTTAAAGTGGCTTATAGCTTTCGTTATCACTTGGCTTCTAGCTTTGGATTGGCACAGCTCCTGTTGTTGAGGCTGTCTGGGGTGTGAACCAGTGGATGGAAGACAGACTCTCTGCCTCTGCTTCTCTGCAACTCTTCCTTTCAAATAAATAAATCTTTAAAAAAAAAAAAAAAAAAGGTCTGACAATAGCTAACAAAGAATGAGTCCTTTTCATTTGAGATACATACTGAAATGTGATGGTACTTCAAAAAGTTTATAAAAATATAATGAAAAAATGTTTATTTTTGGTACAAAAATATGTTGAAATCAATGCCATATGAGGTCTTCAGAAAATTTGCAAAAATGCAATGTAAAAACTATGCATGCGTTTCAAAGTTTTTATGCTCCAAATTAAAAACCAGTGTCTTTTTAAATGCTTATTTTATTTGAGGGATGGAAACAGACTGACCAGCCTTGAGCCTTTGCATCTACTGATTCCCTCTCCAAATTACCAGGAGCTGGGAACTCAGTTCAGGTCTCCAGCTGAGTGGGAGAGTCTCAACTATTTGAACCATCACTTGCTTCCTTCCAGGGTATACATTAGCAGGAAGCTGGAATCAAGACTGGAGCTAGGACTTGAATCCCAAACAGAGGCTTAACCAGTTCACCAAAAGACTGCCTCAAATGTACATTTTAATTCTATTTTTCCATGAGATTTTTGAAATATCCTCATATTTATAGATAAAGTAGTAGAATAAATAGGATATGCTTCAAAATGATAGGGGAATGGGATAGGTGGAATTGTAAATAGGCCAGACATAGAGGATCCTTTGGAGCTCAGACTTAATGTATCTGTGACAATCTGTCTTCTTTTAGTTCAAAATTTACCATCACAGAAAACATTATTATTTTTTTTTTTTTTACAGTGAACAGTGAGAAAGAGAGAAAGGTCTTCCTTTGCCATTGGTTCACCCTCCAATGGCCACCGCGGCCGGCACACTGCACTGATCCGATGGCAGGAGCCAGGTGCTTTTCCTGGTCTCCCATGCGGGTGCAGAGCCCAAGCACTTGGGCCATCCTCCACTGCACTCCCTGGCCACAGCAGAGGGCTGGCCTGGAAGAGGGGCAACCGGGACAGAATCCGGCACCCCGACCGGGACTAGAACCCGGTGTGCCGGTGCCGCTAGGTGGAGGATTAGCCTAGTGAGCCGCGGCGCCAGCCAGAAAACATTCTTAAGAATACTTAGGCTTCTTGCTCTAGAAATCACATTTCTAGCCGGCGCCGCAGCTCACTAGGCTAATCCTCCACCTAGCGGCACCGGCTCACCGGGTTCTAGTCCCGGTCGGGGCGCCGGATTCTGTCCCGGTTGCCCCTCTTCCAGGCCAGCCCTTTGCTGTGGCCAGGGAGTGCAGTGGAGGATGGCCTAAGTGCTTGGGCCCTGCACCCCATGGGAGACCAGGAAAAGCACCTGGCTCCTGGCTCCTGCCATCGGATCAGCGCGGTGCGCCAGCCGCAGCGCGGCAGCCATTGGAGGGTGACCCAACGGCAAAGGAAGACCTTTCTCTCTCTCTCTCTCTCACTGTCCACTCTGCCTGTAAAAAATAAAAAAAAAAAAAAAGAAATCACATTTCTAGGAATATTGTTCATTACAATACTCTCTTTAGTGACAGAAAATGCATAACCATCACTAGGCATTTGATTGAACAGATCAAGGTATAGCTATAGCATGAACTATTACTCAACCATGAAGGAGTATATCAAGGCTGTCTTTGAAACTGCAGATACTTGAAGAGATTTTCATAGGGTACTGTTTTGTTCTTTAGTAAAGATTTAATTACTCAGTTGAAGGGAAGATTGATGGAGAAAGATATCTTCCATCTACTGATTCACTCCCCAAATAACTCCAACAGCTGGTCTGCGTGGAAGCCACAAGTCCAGAGTTCCATCCAGGTCTTCCACATGGGTGGTAGGGGCCCAAGTACTTGGGCTGTCTTCCACTGCTTTCCCAGGCCATTAGCAAGAAGCTGAATCAGAAGCAGAGCAGCTAGGACTCTAACCAGCCCCCATAAAAGATGCAAGCATTGCAGGAAGCAGCTTAGCTTGCTGCCCCACAGCAGCAGCCCCAAGATACTATTACTAGAAAAATCAAGGTGAATAATTATATCTCTTGTTAAATAAACATTGTTTTGAAAACATATGCACACACTTGTTTGTTAAAGTTATACAAGCAATGCTCATATAAAATGTTAAAAGAACCTGGAAGGATTTAGACCTGGTTGCTGAGGTGTGTTTCAAGTGAAAAGTGGCAGAAGTGATGGATGATTTGGGTGGTAGAAGTAGAGCTTGATACAATCATGTGCTAATATTTTTGTTTATGTAAATATATAAGGCTCTTGGCAAAAAATCTTATTCCCTGCATTGCTGTTTATTGAATCCTCCATGCTTTTCCTTTCCCAGCTAAGCTTGAACTAGAGTGTAGACTGACTCTATTCCATGGGACCTATTTTTACTAATACCACGCATGTTTTTTTCATTGCCTCCTCAGTTTCCTTGTCTTCATTTCTTTTTTTTTTCTTTTTTAGATTTATTTTATTTATTTGAAAGAGTAAGAGAGGTGGAGACAGAGAAAGAGGTCTTCCATCTGCTGGTTCACTCCCCAAATGGCTGCAACAGCAGGAGCTGCGCTGATCTGAAGCCGGGAGCTTCTTCTGGGTCTCCCACGTGGGTGCAGGGGCCCAGGGATTTGGGCCATCTTCTACTGCTTTCCCAGGCCATAGCAGAGAGCTGGATTGGAAGAGGAGGAGCCAGGACTGGAACTGGCACCCATATGGGATGCCTGCACTTCAGGCCAGGGCTTTATTTAACCTGTTGCACCACAGTGCTGGCCCCCTCTTGTCTTCATTTCTTCTTCATTTCCTTACCATACAACCCTATGTTAGTTTTCCCAAAGATTTTACCTTCTGACCCTCTTTTCATGTTTTCCCAGATAAATTTCACCTGCACTCCTAGTTTTAACTTCTCTGTGTATGATGAGTGCCTTCAAATATATCTCCATTGCAGATCTTACCCTTAGGTGTCCAGCTTAGGTCTTCAACTGCCTTTTGGATAATATATCTGGTTTCTTCACCAAAAATCTAAAAATCACCATATCAAAATGAAACTTTTTTCCCCATTCACAGTTCTTTTCTTTTCTTCCTGTTTTAACTAATGATAACACCATTTCATCTGCACAGTACAAGTCATACTTGGGAGCCATTCTAGTCTCCCCTTCTCTTTTCCTTCAGTTATTCAGTAACTGTTCTTGAGTACCTATTGTGTGTTTGGCATTAAGCATTGAGTATATAGCCAATCACAAAAACAGATACTAACAACATCCACTAATTCCTGTTGATTTTTTTACTTTCAAATACTTGTAAGTCAATATGCCAGTTATAAGCTGAAAATCTAAAGATATTTGTGCTGTGTCAAATCAGGATTATAATAGCTGAAATTACACTGGCATCTATAAGAAAGTACAACTCAAAAAGTGTGTTATTATACTTATTCTTGTTATGAATTCTTTATTTTTGTTTCAGAAAACTGGCGGTAAAAAAAACTAGTTTTTGTTAAAACTTTTCTTTAGAACTGATACAACAAATTTTTCCCACAGAAGGAGAAATGCATTTTATTTCAACTTAACACATTCAATTATAGCGGAACACACCTCGAACCTTTTTGATTTTCACTGAACTTGGTTGTTTCATGTGTTCATCAGCTATGTATTGATTTTTCAGAATATTTATTTTCCACATGGTGAATGTACCTGAGTTATTGCTTGATCAAACTCCCTCAAGGAATGATGCAAAAATCATCAGTAAGTATCTTACAAAGATTTTGGAGTTGCTGAAAAAGACTGATGAAAATACCCAACATTTACTGCTTTATTTACATGAGGTCCTCATAGACTTTATTGAACTTCATCCGATCTAAATTCAAAAGATTAATATTTAATTAGGAATTAATTTTACTGCCCATAGATGTTTGTATGTGTGAAGCTTGATAGCATTGTTATCCATCTGATACATCGTGTCATCCATGTGACAGATGCACTTTAAGTGTTACAAGGTTAGAGAATAACCAAGACTGTGAATTTCAGAACTTAATGAATTTGGAGTAAATAAAAGGACATCATCTGTGTAACATCCAAATATGGTTTATTCCTTTGGGCTTTGTGCTTCATGCCAGTGATACTCAGCGCAGTTGTTCTACAAACTGTGTATTACCACTGCTCAAAATAAGCAGCTTATGCTAGAATGTAAATCAGTGGATTGCTTCCTTTCTAGGAGAAAATGCTTTTGAAGAAAAAGCTGAAAGTAAACAGTGTGCTTAGTGATAAATGTGGTTTCCATTTTGCTGCAGACTTCTTATTTCATTCCAGATCAGTAACAAAATTTATAGACTGTCCTCACTTCATGGACCATACTTTGAGTAACAGTTTTGTGTCATACATGTCAGACTTACAGTATTGTTACAGGAATACATATCCTGGATAATACAGCTTATTTGTGTATGAATATGTGGCACTTTTGTACATTTGCATAATCCTTAAGTCATTTTTTCCCATGCCTTCTACCTTTTTCTCTTTTCTCATGGTCTTCTTCCATTATATTTCTATACAGAAATCCTAATAATAGTGTTTGCTTCACATAATTGCTCCTTGCTACTATGCCGAAAACTCAGTCACATTCAGAGTCAGATTGTGCTTATACACCACAGTTATAGTAATGGAAAAGAGGATAACTCTGTCACATAGCCCACCCCCTCAAACTTTTTAACACTTATTAACTATCGGAGTATAGATTTTATTGACAACTTTGTTAGAGAGTGCCCAATGGACAAAATTTAAAATATCACTTATTGTTGAAAGAGCTACTCACTTTTTTAAAAATATTGATTTATTTATTTGAAAGACAGTTACAGAGAGGCAGAGGCAGAGAGAGAGGTGGGGGGTGCGGGGGTCCTTCCATCCGATAGTTCATTCCCCAAATGGCCACAATGGCCTGAACTGGGCTGATCTGAAGGCAGGAGCCAGGAACTTTCTTCTGGGTCTCCCACACAGGTGCAGGGGCCCAAGGACTTGGGCCATCTTCTACTGCTTTCCTAGGCCATAGCGGAGAGCTGGATCGGAAGTAGAGCAGCCGGGACTGGAACCGGTGCCCATAGGGGATGCCAGCACAGCAGACGGCGGCTTTACCTGCTGTGCCACAGCGCCGGCCGCCCTCACCTTTTTCTTAACGTTATTTTGCCAGTAATCTGGCCTTATTAGGCAGCTGGTATAAATTTTTCTCACAGGAACTGTCTCACCGTAATAAATAAAGTACTTATAGAGTTAAATCATAGGACAGAAATGAAGAGTTCTGAAGAGAGCGATGTATTGTTACCCCCTGGTGTTTACTGAGTGCATTTCTGTGTCTTACAATACACAAAATGACCAGTGTTTCAAGCCTCATTTTCTCATTGTTAGTTAATTGTACTCTTAGAAATATGTTGTCATAATTTATGAAACTCACTTCCTCAGTTTTATATTTCAGGAACTGTGAAATATTACTGTTGGCAAATGCTTATGGAATTAAAAGCTAATAAATTAAGAGATCCACAAAAACAGTTATTTATGTCAAAATATTCCAGAATTTTTTTAATCAAACGGATTATTTGATGTTAACTGTTCAACAATAACTAGAAGAAAGCATGACCTCAGAAAGTTTTAAACCAAACCTTTTAATCTTAGAACTGTGGAGACTACAGGAGGAGATTGCTTGGGTGTTTTAGAGTGTCCTAATACATCAACAAATGTGATCATTAGGAATTTCGATTGGATAAAGCGTTTTCTAGAATAACGCAGTCTGCATATTAGTATAGCTATGTTTAAAGATTTCTCCATTTTAGCATAAAATATAAATAATATTTTACCTTCAGTTTTAACAGTTTCCAGTGTATTTGTTAGGTAGTAGGAGTTAAACCTCATATGGAAAATCAGTCTATTTATAACCCATGAACCTTATTTTTTTATAACCAGAACTGCTAGCAACCTCCTTTAGTAAGCATATTTCTGAAGCTGTTGTGTAGCACGTGTTTGGTGTTCAACACCTTTTCTTTCTTTTTACATATCCCTATGATATGACTGCTTAGAATAAATTAAATCAGTAATTCTATTATGTGCAGAGCTGAGCACAGGTCTGAGCACACAGCATGATAAGCAATCAGGTGTGCTTTGCGGGGGGTGGGGTGCTTTTATTTAATGACCACTTGCCCACTTAAAAGAAGTGGTCTTCTAGTGTTTTGCGTGCTCTACATTTTCTTCTCTGCTTTGTAACATACATGCTGTATTTTATACACTGAGTTCCAAATTTAAATTTTTTTGACTTTTAAATAGAAATATTACCAACATACTTTTTGCATCTTAAAAGAAATAAAAGCAGTGTACTTGTTTCCAAAACCAAAATCAATACTTTAATACAGTGTTCATAATGTGTTTTATGTGAGTTAATTATGTCAACCTAGCTCCACAGCATAAGAATTTATAATTCCAGGTGGAGTGCTTTAAGAGAATAGATTGCTCTTTAGCAATATCCATAAAAATTGCATGTGATCTATATGTTTCACTTCCTCCCTCCCTCCCTCCCTCTCTCTCTCCCTCCCTCTCTCTCTCTCTCTCTCTCTCTCTCTGTCACACACACACACACACACACACACACACATCAAAAAAGAAATGGGAAATTGGCTGCAGCTCTGATGTTTTCTTGCTGCTGCAAATTAATGGAAATCATCAAATTTTGTGTTACATAAAATAATAGTCTACTTAAATACCTGTGTGAAGTTTTTGTAAATCTTGGAGATCAGAAATTTCAAGAACATAAAATTATTTATTGCAAATACTAAAGCTGATTTTTTGTTACAAATGTGAGCTTGGTGATTTTACCTTAAAAATTGAATTTCAGACAGTGTCTAGCAACTTAAAGTGAGTCTGTCACATAATTCTAATAGTGAGATCCGGTTGAATATTTAAGACTAAAACTTTATAAAGGGTATATTTGGGCAGAACTGTAAAAATAAGAAGTTTGACTTAAAATTATACATATATTTAAATGAGCTCAGCTATAGCTATGTCATTATTGTCCACAGAAAAATGTGTTATGTATAGTCATGGTTAAAAGGACCTCCATGTAATATATGTATATATGATGTAATAGCTGAGACTGGGTGATTTTGTCGGTTTCCTTTAGTGACATCAAAGTTTTTGTAGTGATACCAGTCTTGATTTCAGAGGAAATAATCTTGATTAATTTATTCTATATAAGATCAGTTTCTGTGTAACAGTTTAATAATAGAAAACCATTACATGATTACTAATTGAGGGGGTTTATAGAGTACCATGTTACCTGATTTTATTTCTTATGTATATTTTGCTTTTAGACTTAGTATTTTCAGTTATTGATTACATTTTCTTCACTCCCCACCTCACCCCTAAACCCTTAACTGTAATTCTCTTGTCAGTATCTGTTTCTGTGAAATTGTTCTCATCTGGTTTACTGATTTCCAAATAGATAGTTGTATGACTTCCTTTTCCTTATAAAGTAAAATTAAAACACCTAACCTTTACTTTGTGGAACTGAGGTTTAGAAATTTTTAAAAAGATTTATTTATTTATTTGAATAGCCAAGTGACAGGGAAAGAGAGTGACAGATATAACTTCCATCCACTGGTTCACTCCCCAACAACCAAGTCTCAGCCAGACCAAAACCAGGAGCCAGGTGTTGTATCTGGGTATCCCTCAAGGGTAGCAGGAGCCCAAGTATTTAGGCCATCATCTCCTGCCTACCAGGCACATTAGCAGAAAGCTGAATCAGAAGCAGAGCAGCTGGTACTCCAGCCAGCACTCCAGTGTGGAATGCCAGCATTGCAAGATGCAGCTTTACCTGCTGTACCTCAAGCTGGTCCCCAAGATTTAGAAATTTGAGACTGTATATAATTACCTATTTTATCTATATTTTGTTTGCATGTCTTTTTAAGCTACATTCCTTAATAGATTTGGGAATGTGAAAACTCTAAAATTTGTTTCTGAAAGTGCTGATATATTTTTCTGATGTTACTTCCTTTTTTTTTTTTTTTTTTTTTTGACAAGCAGAGTTAGACAGAAAGGTCTTCCTTTCATTGGTTCACCCCCCAAATAGCTGCTACGGCCGGTGCACTGAAGCCAGGAGCCAGGTGCTTCTTCCTAGTCTCCCATGCGGGTGCAGGGCCCAAGCACTTGGGTCATCCTCCACTGCCTTCCTGGGCCACAGCAGAGAGCTAGATTGGAAGAGGAGCAACCGGGACTAAAACCCGGAGTGCCAGCGCTGCAGGCGAAGGATTAGCCTAGTGAGCCGAGACGCTGGCCTCTGATGTTACTTCTTTTACTGTTACATAAATAACAAATTTGTACAGTTCTTGTATTAGTTTTGGTTAATGAACTATTAAACAGCAAAGGAACCACTCAAAATAGATAAAGACCTAATGCAGGCAGTCGCCGCAGCTCACTAGGCTGCTAATCTGCCTTGCGGCGCCGGCACACCGGGTTCTAGTCCGGGTCAGGGCGCCGGATTCTGTCCTGGTTGCCCCTCTTCCGGGCCAGCTCTCTGCTGTGGCCAGGGAGTGCAGTGGAGGATGGCCCAAGTGCTTGGGCCCTGCACCCCATGGGAGACCAGGAGAAGCACCTGGCTCCTGCCATCGGATCAGCGCGGTGCGCCGGCCGCAGCACGCTGGCCGCGGCAGCCATTGGAGGGTGAACCAACGGCAAGGGAAGACCTTTCTCTCTGTCTCTCTCTCTCACTGTCC